TCTTCTAATATTTAGTATTGTTTGTAGTTAAAACGCATTGGCATACACGCGACATTTTTGTACGTAACGAAAAGATTCCCACGTCCTGCTGATTTCGTTATGTGAATGCTTGATAGCTGTTGATGAGCGCATAGATCACACTGTAGAGCGCGGATATGCGTTATATAGACGCAATTATTATTACAATATTTCATTCCTCCCTCCTGAGGGTGGGGTTGGCGGGTGTGGTTTGCTTCTTCATTTCCTATCAAACGTCTATCGTCCTGATCTCTCCTCCTTCTTTTTTTGTGTTTGTTTCTCTCTTGTGACACCTCTAATCTTCGGCACTTATATAACCTTATTGTGTTTCAAGTGTCGTAAAACTCTTATTAAAACTTTAAAAATCCCCGTCCCCCCTCCCCCCTCACTTTCCCAGTATCGTACCTCGGTCATCATTGGAATCATCACCGGCGGGTCCGTCTTGTTCCTCGTCCTGGCCGTCTGCTTCATCGACCACTTCCGGTTCCTCACACCCGAGCAGAAGCAGAAGAGACGAGACCGGAAGGAGGAGCGCCTGGCTAGACAAGCGCGCCTGCACAATGGAGGTTTGGACAACAACGGGCTGGATATGAGCGAGGACGTGACGAGGGCCACTCACGAGGTCAACGGAGAGCAGAAACAAGCCAACACACATTTGTAGATAGCTGGCGGGGGCGGGGAATCTCAACGGATGTGTCGTTTTCTTTTTTTTTAAAGATCTTATGAAAACTCAATCATTTTTTATTTCCTGCCTGCATAGGCTGGCACTTACCTGACCAAAACTGAGTCGATAGTGCCGTAAAACACCTACTCAATCAATCATCCTGGCGTAGGATGAGAGATAGATAATATTATTATTGGTGTTCAGACAAAAGTACATATCCTTCTATCCTGTTCCCCCTTTCTCATTACACCAAAACATTCAACCCCCCCCCCCTTTCCTTTTCTCATTATATGCCTTACTTACAACCTCTCTATATCGTCGGGTAGGTCTACACAATGCAGAGAGCATCTGACGTCAAGTTTGTCTGTCTCTGACCTTTCAGTTTAGTCACATCCAGATCCTGGGTAATTGTCTAGTCTTTAAAGTTTGTCTACCTCTTCTTCTGTATCAATTTGGCCTCTGGCACCATGTGTAATAAGACAATCTTTTCTCTAGCATTCTCAAAGCAATGTCTCAGATATCTCCTTCTCTGATCATTAGATTCAATCATCCACGTTCCTGTTCCCTCATGATTTTTTTTTAAATCATAAAAATCTTCCAATGAAGTTCCTACCCAATTTGGTATATTGTTATACTTCAGAAAAGCATTCCATTATACACATTCAACTTCTTTTTTTATCATGAGAACCATATATACTTCTCCCACTTTTAGTGTTTGTATTACATATATATATTTTATGTGATTAATATTTCTGTTGCGTAAGACAATTACATATAATTATTACATCTATATATTTTATGTGATTAATATTTCTGTTGCGTAAGACAATTACATATAACTTGTTTCAGCCGATATCGATTTTAATTAACCAGATACTGTATCTACCTTCTGTTCTATTTAACGTGAACGGTGACGCTTGGTGCTAGGAATGAGATACGCTTAAGAATTTGAGTCTTTTTGTTACAAATGTTGACATATTATTGTTGCTCTGCTTGCAAACTGTGGGAGAACGTGTGTGGCCAGTGTTATGATCCTTTTTTTTAAAATGGTCATAGGATCAATTTACTTGCTCTTCGCACGTCTGCGATCAAAATACATTATGTGTAACTAAATGATTAAAAACAAAACAATTCGAATAAAGAAAGGCGAATAGGACGTGATCTATTCGCAAAAGCGAATGAATAAACTAAAATCTTAATTGCATCTGGAAACAAATCTACTTATTTTTCTCACCCCCATTCCCGAAAAACACCCTCTAACATTTTCATCGCAAAATGTTTCAATGACACGATAAAACGTTGCTTACGGATTTGTAGATCTGTCCAATGGTGTGGGAAATTTGTGTTGAAAAGTTGTTTCCATCTTGCAAAGTTTTAAACACAAAGAGATAATGTTTTTCATTCTTTCGTGATCTTTCAATTTGGAGGGGCCACCGCACCTATGTTAGCTCCTTTCTGGTTATAATAAGTGAAGGGTCCTATTACAAAATGCCAATAATGTGGACATTTTCAGAAAACCATGTCCACTATGATGAGAATTGTAATGAGAATATCATTATTATTATTATTATTCTCCAAATGCCCTGTATCTTTCCATATCGAATGATAAGTTTTTGTTTCGTCCATACTTTAGCTTTCAGGGAATCATAATTTTTTAAATATTCAATTTATTTTCAGGTTTTTTTTTCAGTTTTGTTTGTAAAGTGAGTGCGGTTTACTTCGGAGTCTTAGCAGAAACAGTTCATTTTCCCAGGTTCCTTATTTTGGAGCTGTTCTGTACTGTCTTGGCATAATATTATGTAATATAATAAAGTCCCTGAAACATTTATTACAGTTTTTGACCATGTTCGTTCGTTTGTCTTTGCTTAATATAAAGGCCCTAAAACAATTACATGTATTACAGTTTTTGACCAATTCTGGTCTTTTTTTTTCAATACATAAAATCAAATTCCCTGAAACAATCAGTAGAGATTTTGACCATGTTTGGTCCTTTTTTCTATACATAAAATCAAACTCCCTGAAACAATTATTACAGTTTTTGACTCTCTTTGGTCCTTCTGTCTTTACATAATATTAAACTCCCTGAAACAATCATTACAGTTTTCGACCATGTGTGGTCGGTGGATATTTTTTGTCTTCTTTGTGCTATGGCGTGCCTACGTGGTGAAACACGCACTAATCAATTAGTTTGGAGTAATTAATTAATCATAATCGCCCTTTCATCCGCGACTTAAAGTGTGTGTATCCTATAATTAGTGTAGTATGGATGACTGTTTTTTTTAAAAATTGTAACCATCAGTCATTTTCACCATCACCACCACCACCACCATCATCATCATCATGATGATCATCATCTCATCATCATCATCATCATCATCATCATCATCATCATCATCATCATCATCATCATCATCATCATCATCATCATCATCATCATCATCATCATCATCATCGATATTTCTTTCTTTTCTTGTTGTCAAGGCCACAATAATTACATATAGGTATCGAAGAATTAAACACATAACAGAACGCCCCCCCCCCAATCTCTCTCTCTCTCTCTCTCTCT